CTAGAGACTGCAGTACCAAGGTTGTAAATACTCAATAGACTTTATTTTGAACACAAAGCTTTATAATTAAGTGATTAATGGATTAATTAAAGCCTGGAATTAACACTGTTATTAAAAGCTATGAAAATCCTAAAAACCTGTATGCATTTAATTTTTGTGTGAAGTATGTAAGAGCATTCTCCACCACAAAAAAACATAACAATCTCGATCCTGAGATAAGACTTTTTTCACACAGATATTGTCCTCTCTGCAGGGGTGGGGTCTCAACTGTTGTGATGCAATGCAAATTCTTGAAATAGATTTTTATTTCACACTGCAATTTTATTTCTGAGAAGATCTGAATTATTCAACAATTGAATACACGAAAAATATGTCAGGACATGAAACAGCTAAGCAAAACCAGCTAAATTTAGTGAACAGAAAAAATGAGACAGAAAGAAAACCTGGTTTCGGTCTTCTGTTTTATCTGAAACTGCAATAATATCTATTTTAACAACTACCTTCTTTGGAATTCGGTGAGAGCTTCCCCTGCTTTGACAGTCTGTACTCAAAAATCCTCCATCCCAACAGCAATGTTAAGTGAAGGTTTACAATATTTTGAAGTTTTCTGAGGACTGCTTTAGAATTTTTAATAATTAATTCAAAACACAATTTTTAATAACTTTCAAGCTCTCACTGAGTTACATTTTGACAAATGCCCTAGAGTGCTGACTGCTAATAATCCGTAACAGCCTAAAATTTGGGACTAAATAGAAAATAGCATTTTTAAGCTAGAATAGAATATACTATCTAATAGAAATAGCATTTTCTAAATAGAAATAGAAATGCACTTTATAAATACTAGTTAATCCTAGCATAAGCATCTTTCCATCCAGCTCTACCACTTCTCTAGATAAAATGTTTTCAAAATCAAAGTAACAAAATGACTCAAAACAATTCTGAAGGACCCATGGAGTCAAACGAAGGTCAGCGAAAGCTGCAGAACAAGTTCTGGTGTGTTTGTATATGTCTCCAGTACAGTTCAGTGTCAAAGACAATATTATCTTCATTTACCACAACATTTCAAATTTTTTTAAGGGTTAGCAGAGCTATGCCCTATTTTGTTTTATTGTATTAGAAGAAAACAGATCCCCCACAGGAATAATTTCTTCCGTTAATTTACCTGCTTAAAAACAGTACTTTTGAAATGCAGGTCACCAAGCACACACAAATCCCACTGAAGTCAGTGGATACAGCAGATAGAAAGAAAACCAGGCCACTTGGTTCCTTGAGGTTATCGTTCCGTAACCTAGAAATATGTTTTGCTATGAGGGTGATACCCCAAGAGGTTCTTCAAGTATGAATAAAGAACAGGAACACACTTCATAGTGACACTGGATGTGTGACGGTGTGTTGCCAACTGAGAAGTGTTACTGATTTCATATAAATAATAGAGTGCTCACTAGTAAACAAAGTATAGTGCCACGTGTTACAAGGTAATAATTTTCTCTTTCTCAGTCTTAAGTAGAAATACATATGCACCAAACTTAATTTGTAAGGTCTGATGGATGATAAAGGATGGATGGTTTGTTAACTATACTTTACATCCTCATAATTTCTTTGTTAATGCCTGGCTTACCAAACAAAAATTTGACAAGATCACTCAAGGAAAAAAATCCTACATTCCTCACTCCATAATTAGCTTAACATACATCAGGCTGTACATTTGCATTTTACTAAAAAACTATTTAAAAACAACTTCAGTGTTAACAGCACCAGACACTTTCCTCCCAATAAGAAAAGGCCTGTTCCATAATTTATGCTACTGGAACCACAACTGGTAAACCAATAAGGATGCAAAACAAAGTATTTTTAAACATTAGCATACACTCCAAGCAATTGGCATATCCATCACAGACAGCATATGATTCATTACCCTGGTTTTGACAGCTATCCTCTAATTACATTGCCAGGCTAAAACTCACTATGCATAATAAAACCATGCCATGAAGAAACTCTGTGTAAAATTCAGTAAATTATTAGAGGGAGTTTTTCAGTATAACTAATAATGAAATCAATACATCAGAGTTTGTACCATCTTTAGAAAGTGAAATCCAATCTACAGATCTTTTCACATTAAACCAAATTCCAACATGTCCTTGTCAGTTATCTCTCATCAACACTATAACCCAGTTCCAGTGACTTTTCATTCATGTGCTCATTGGTACTACAGTAGGAAAACCTGAAAACTATGGGAGGTCCACTCCAACTGTCCCTGGACTCGACTGAACTTTGAGTGGTGCTCTACACCATTAACTGCCAGCTAAGTTTTCAGACTTGGGTCTCTCTGTAAAACCAAAACTTATTACAATATACACAAGAACACCAGCAACCAAAATGAGTAGAAGGGCAGAGTTATAAACACATGAAGTTACACTCCAGGACAGAGCTGTCCATGATAATTTTAGGTGAGCAAGCCAAGTTTGCATTCCCTGCCTCCCCCCCAAAAAACCCCTAAACCCTAATATACTTTTTTTGGAGCAACCAAGATCTGCAACTCAAATAAAACACATAAATGTTAACTAACAAAGTGATTGAAGAAGTCCTCTTTAAAACCTTCTGCTGTTTGACATAGGTTTTCATGCCTATCAGTTAATTGTCCAAACATCTCATGCTGAGATAAAGAACCCACTAGAAGAAAAGACATCTGGCTAAGGCTGGGGTTTTCCCATGTCAAGAACAGCACGCGCTGCCTGCACGTACCATGTATAACAGGGCACTGAAACCAGTCCCACCGGCTGCAGGAAGGAACAGACCAATGTTCTAAATGCCAGTTTAATCCCAGAGAGGTTGTTATTTTTCAGTTGCACTGACTCCATGTAAAAAGAGAAACAGGCACAGTTTGGAATGTCCATGGCTCACAAAACCACCTTTTTTTTTTTTTGCCCCAAACTACAGAGAGCTGTAAATATAATATTTATGGTGACTGCTTACTTGCTGACAGCTCTATTGCATTTCTCATTGCTGCATCTGAGATGTCACCCTTTTATAACGCGTTCCCATACATCGAAAAGGCAATCCCAAGATCTTAAATAACAAGAAATAGCATTTCATCTCATAAAGAAAAGAAAGGAAAGGAAGCCTGTGTTTGAATATATAATATAAATGGTATAAAAACACTATTAAAGTTGGGATATAAAGTAACAAAGAGTACATTGATCAGACAAAGAAAATACACAGTAGGAGATCATCACCAGTACTCTTAAAAGAAATCTATAAACACAATCTGCAAAATCTTTAGGCAATGTCATGTTTTTCACATTACCTCAATACCAAGAATTGCATGCCAGTCTTTTTCATGGGAATTTATTACTTAAGTGACATTAGTACTTCCAAATAAGCCCTCCCAGTTAAATTGGTTAATCACAGGTGAGATCACCGGAACTAACTTCACAGAAATTAAAACTAGTTCTGAAAAGGGACTGAAGTACAGAATAGATTTCAACTTGGAAGTCACGGTGGGGACTACAGCTGGCAGAGCAAAAAGACTAGGGTAAGAGCTGAGAAAAGAAACAGAGGACCTGAGATCAGATACTGATTTGAGGTAAGATGGCAGGGCAGGGAGATGATGAGAGGGAAACCTACAGGAAAAAAGGGGCTGAATTCTACCAGGGCCCAAGTCTAGGTATTTGTGACTATGCAAGTAAAATCACACAGAATTTAGTAATAATCTGTTGATTCAAAAAGTATTCTCATTGAATACCATTTTTAAAACTTCATGAGTTGCAAATCAGTGTTTTCCTTGCAAAATCTGAACCCCAAACCTGTCAGGACCCTGAAGAGATCTCAGGCCAACCTTACAGTTCAGACTAAGACAAAGACATTAGAATTCTACAATACAGATTTTAAAGTAATTTTTGTTGACAGCCTGCATTTAATTTTTTTCCGTTTTCTTAATGAAGTAACAACACTAGATATGTTACACAGCTTCACTACTAAATGTGTTCACTTTTAAAGAAGGAGAGTGGAGCTATTATATCCCAGGTGAAAAACAAAGCCTTCAGCTTCACTTAACCTGAACTATAGCCCCATGTATTACACCAGCATTTTCAGTTAACAACGAACAATCAATCAAAGAGTATAACCTAAAACTTTGCTACACTTCAGTGTAATGGAAACAGTAAATGCCAGCTGGCCTTTTCATTGTGTCCTGATCCTGAGAATTCACAAAGAGCACCTTTCAGAATTGAATTTTTGAAGACTTAGTTTTCCATCACAGTTCACATATAGCAGACAGCACTAAAGTACACTGTTTAAAATTGTTACCTCCATACAAATAATCTGCTCAGTGTTCCATCTGCTTTGCAACAGTTTCACTGTTCCCTGTGCTTTTATTGCTCCATGCAATACCTTATAACCAACCTGGTTATTTCTTAAGAAGTTTTGTAGGGCAGTGACTTGTGCACTTTGTCTTTCACCTTTGAATTCAGAACTGTAGTCTTTTTTGGAAACCAACCAAGCACAGGTATATTTAGTGCATGTCACTATCTTTGCTCTGGAAACAGAATGATCAAAATGCTGTAAGACTGTATATGGTAACTAATCATCTGTATTTGGATATCAACATATATACAATGGGTTTGGGTCGGGTTTTTTTTCAGAAGGAAAACAAGGCCCCCCACTTATGGGGTTATGAAGGAACAGAGCAAAGATCTTTTGGCATGTCTCACTAGTTCCTCTATCCACCTACATAGTTTCAGCTTCCAAAAGTTTCTTTCTCCTACTTTCATAAATTACTTTATGTGAAATAAACTGTATTTTTATGTTATAATAATTATTGGTTTTATATATAATTATTATATATGCTACACGTTCAGGTGCGGCGTTATGTGCAACAACGTGCGGCAGAGCCGGACCAGGCTGGTACACTGCAGCCCCTCACCCCGGCGCGTACAGACTCTAAAACGCACAGCGCGTTGGCTTCGCAAACACCGCCGACGCGGTGGGCTGCGCGCACTTACGGCAAACTTTCGGCAAAGCCCCGGCAGGAGCCCAGCGGGGCGTCCGTGCGCCCCCCGGCTCCCCTCTCTGCGGGCGGCCTGCACGGGGCGAGGCCTCCCCCGGCCCCCGCCC